GGGCTGGTGAGATGGCTCAGTGGTCTAAAGCACCTACTTGGAACAAGCTTGGCAAAGCACAGGGACCACGGTTCAATCCCCCAGCACCACATGCTAGCCAGCCCCGCCCCCTGGTGGGCTGAGCTGGCCACACACACACACAAATAAATAAAAAATTAAAAAAAAAAAATAAAACACACATTTAAAAAAAAATTATGCAAATAATTTACAAATCCATTTTACTTATACAAAATTAAAGGGGTCTAGCTAAGACCACCATTCCTTCATCATAATATCAGCTTTTTTTTGTTTTAGTTTTGCTTTTTTAATTTGGTACAGGGTCTCACTGCACAGCTCAGACTTGTAGTGATTCTCCTGTCTCAGCCTCTCTAGTGCTGCGATTATAGGCATGCACCACCATGCCTGGTCTCCATGGCTGGCGCAGCAGGCATACCTGAGATTGAACCCGGTCCTTGCGCTTGCTAGGCAGGCACTTAGACTACCAAGTTATCTCTCCAGCCCTATCAGCTTTTGTGTGTGTGTGTGTGTGTGTGTGTGTGTGTGTGTGTGCGTGTGTGGTACGGGGGATTGAACTCGGGACCTTGTGCTTGCCAGGCAAGCACTTATGCTGCTGAGCTATCTCTCAGGGCCTATCAGCTTGTTTTTGATAAAGGCAGGAAAAAGTTTTCCAGCCCAGCGTGGTAATTGTAATCCCAAAACCCAGCTAAGGCAGGAGGATAACCATGAGTTCAAAGCCAGCCTGAACTATATAGCGAGACCCTGGCTCAAAAAACCCCACCAAAAACCAAAGTTTTCCTGAGCTGGAAAGAGGCTGTGCGGTGAGTGCTGGCCTAGCGCGCAGACAGACCCAGTTCCCCCAGTTCCACCCGCAACAGCATGAAAACAAAACACAACTTTTGCTGGCCATGTACACATCAGAGTATTGGCTGGGGGGGGGGGGGCTGCCAAAAGGAAATCCCACAAAGTGGGCCAGTAAGAATAACAGACTTTTCCTCTTGAGCTCTGGAGGCTGGAAATCAGCGGTCAAGGTGTGGGCAGCGCCGGTCCTCCTAGGGGCAGCCACTGTCCTTGGGATTCTTAGTTTTAGAAGCATCACCTGGTCTCTGTCTCCATCTGCAGATGACATCTGTCCAGCGTGTGTGTCCAGATTTCCCCTTTCCATAAGCATGAGGGTCACAGCGCATCGGCCCCGCCCCAATGACCTCAGCGTTGGCAATTCCAGCTGCAGAGACCCTGTTGCCAAATAAGGTCACATCTGAGGCCCTGAGTGCTGGGACCAGTGCCTGTGAATTATGGGGTGGGGGGCTGAAGACAGTTCCACCGGTAACAAATGCATACACAAAAGCATGTGTATCTACATATGTGCCTGCCTGCGTGGTCCCATAAAACATTTGCGATCTCATTTTTTGCTTTTTATTATCCCACTGACGTCACGCTGCAAGCATCTGTCTGCCCTCTGCCCTACTTCCTGAATTGCTTTTCTTCTAGAAAGGGTGCTCCTTCGCAGGCAGGCAGTAACACCTCGTTCTTTGGGCTTAAACTGGCAATCCTCCTGCCTCAGCCTCCCAAGAGTGCTGAGATGACTGGCATGTGCCACTTTGCCCAGCTTTTAAAAAAAAAAAAACAATATTTATTTTTGTTTTTTTGAAGCGCAGTCTCAATGTATAGTTCAGGCTGGGCTTGAACTCACAATGTATCCCAGGCTAGCCTCCAATTTTTGGTGATCCTTCTGCCTCAGGCTCCTGAGTGCTCTGAGATCACAGATGTGCCACCTTGCCCAGCTGACCAGCTGGTTTGATTTTGTCCAGGGCCATGCTCCGTACACTGTCAGATCTGAGGAAGTTTCTGGGAGCCTTAGACCCCCCCCCCTCCATCATTGGGCCTGGGCCAAACAGCATCAAAGCAAGCCCCCCACACCGCGAAGCTGGACTGGGGCCACCAGGAGATCTGATTGCCAGCCAGGGGAGGGGGGACGCGCTCCTGGCGTCTGGTGTGGCTGGGACGCTCTGGGGACATCAAAGGTTGCCAGGATGTGTCCAGACCCCAAGCCGCGGCAGCCTGTCCTTCCCTGGGGGCTGGACATTCATCCCTCCTTCCTGGCTCCCTCCCTCCTTCCGAGGGGCTCTCTCTGATCTTGACCCCAAATGCAACTGGCGCCCCTTTCTCAGGGCACGAGTGTCTCTGCTAGTCTTCAGGCATTTAGGGTAAGCAGTTCTCCTCCACCCTTGGACTTTTTATCCAACACTCTTCCTTTTCCCCTAGCCCGAAATCAGACAACCTCGTGGCCTCTGAGTAGCCTCAGAGTGAGGCAGTGGTGTCAAAGGCCAACACTTACCAGACCCTTTAGGACCCAGATCCAGAATGCAGGAGGTTGCTCTCTGAACCTTGTCATGAACTAAGCGTAAGATCTCCAGCTCTTTTTTTTTGCTTTAAGATCGGTTCTTACTGAGTCCCAAAGGTGCCCAGGCTGGGCCTCAGGCTTGCCATCCTCTGGCCTCAGCCTGCCAGAGCACTGGGATGACAGGCGTGCACCACATGCTGCTTCAGCCTAGCCGCCCAGGCCGACTTCTCCAGGTCCAGAGGCAGAAAGAAGGCGGTGGAAGGTTCCACTCTGCCCTTGACTCTGGGGCCAGGCTGGGCTTGTTCCTGGTTTCCCCACCAGTGAGGGCCAGGAGATAACACCTACTCCACCAGGCCAGAGCCCAGATGGCCCCAAGAGGCCTCTGCAATGTGTCCAGGGTGCTGAATGATAAAGGAGAGGACAGCCGGGCGCCTGTCCGTCAATCCAGGGGGTCTCAGCCCCAAGAAATAGATCTCAGACACAGGGCCCAGGAGCAGAGTTCAAATCCTGAGCCAGCCTCTCGTCCACTGTCGGGTCCTGGCTGAACACTCCCCCCCCTTCTCTTGCTATGATGGCCACCAAGTGGTGAAGGGGCCCAGTGGAATGAGAAGCTTGCCCCAACTTGCTTGCCTGCCCTCCTTCCTGTTCTTTTTTTTCTTCCTTCCTTCTTTCTTTTTTTCCTTCTTTCTTTCAAGGCAAGTATTATTTCTCAAGGTCCAGAGGCCAGGCTGTCTGGCAGGGAGGAAAGAATAGAGGCACTTATCTTTCCTCATCCCTGTATCTTCTCCATTGAGGTTAGTTCTTCTTATCTCCCCTCTCTGCAGTGAGGTTATCGCTCTTCAGGGCTGCATCCTCTTTTTTTGTTGTTGTTGTTGAGATGAAGTCTTGCTATGTAGCCAGGACTGGCCTTGAACTCCTTGGAGCTCCTCCTGCCTCAGCCTCCCAAGTGCTGGGAATTACGGGCATGTGTCACCATGTCTACCATTCAAGCACTCAATGGATTTTTTCCCCCCTCCAGTACTGGGGTTTGAATCCAGGGCCTTCACACGGAACTACACCCCCAGGCCTCTCTTCTTCTTCTTCTTCTTTTTTTTTTTTTTTTTGGTGCTGGGGATCAAATTCAGAACTTGCCAGGCAGGCACTTAAGCCACTTAAGCCACTGAGCAATCTCCCCACCCCCAGCTCTCCCTTTGTTCGTTTTTTTTTTTTTTTTTTTTTTTACTTTATTACTATTATTATCATTATATATTTTGGGTTTTTTGTTTTGTTTTGGCGGAACTGGGGATTGAACTCAGGATTCTGCACTTGCCAGGCAAGCGCTTATTCTACTGAGCTTTCTCCACAGCCTTTTTATTTTGGGTTTTTTAATTTTTTAAATTTTTTTGCGGAACTGGGGATTGAACTCAGGCCCTTGTGCTTGCCAGGGAAGCTCTTATTCCACTGAGCCATCTCTCCGGCCCCATTGGCTTTTTTTTTTTTTTTTTTTTTTTTTTAAATAAGGTCTTAGTGTGTAGTTCAGGCTGGTCTTGAACGCCCTATAGCTCAAGCTGGCCTTCAACTCTTGGTAATCTTTCTGCCTCAGCCTCCTGAGTGCTGGGATTACAGGAATGCAACTGTAGGCCTGCAATTTTTTGGGTTTGTTTTTTTCTTTTTAAACCTTGACACAGGGCTTGGCTAAATTCTAAATTGCTCAGGATGGTCTAGAAATGTGAGCTCCTCCTGCATCAGCTTCCCAGAGCATTGACATTACAGGCCTGCACCCCTATGTCTGGTCAGTTCTGTGACTTTTTAAACAGAGTACCCATTTTAGAGCAGGGAGAACTGAGACCCTACTGCCCTTAAGCGATTTGTCCTAGATGACATGACTGGGAGAGGGTGAGGTCAGATCTGGACTTCAGGATTTGTGTTCCAGACGTTTCAACTTCCTGCAGGCCCTGGCCTGCTGACGGGAAGGAACCGCGCCCCGCTGCTGGCCGGCCTTGCAGCAGGGCTGGTCGGGTGACCCATTCCCGAGTGGGCAGCGAGGGGGAGCAGCCCACACACCTTCCTGCCTCGGGGCCCTGACTCACCGCCCAGAAACCTGGTGAGGGTGCCTCGGCCACGTGGGTCGCCCTGCACCGCCCGGCTCGTTAAAGCCCAGCTGGTGTTACAACTTGCAGCCCCATTGTTATCCGTAATAGCTAATTAATTAGTGGTAATAGGTCCTCTCTGAGTCCCATTGGGTCTCCCGGGGCCAGGAAGTCTGCAACCCCGAGGCGGGCTCTGACTGTGTCTCCACCCACCGGCGCCGCAAACACACCTCATCCTCCCCGGCCCGCATTAGACTTTCTCAAGCTACGACTAAGCCGGGATGGCCAGACTTGGAGACGGGAGTCTGGGTGGGCGGCCGGGTGCCCACTTCTCTTATTTGCCTTCCCAGATGTGTGGGCAGTTTTCTGAACCCAGCTCAGCCCAAGGTCTTGTGAACTCCGGGGTACATATCCGGCTCTAGGACCGTGCGGGAGTCGAGCGTGGAGCCTCGGGTACGTCTGAGACCACGCCCTTCTTGTTGGTGATTGGCTGCTGTGTCCCGAAGCGCGGTTACCATTGGAGGAGGTGACCCTCGCTCTCCGAGATTCCCCGCCGCCGCCCCGCCCCGCCCGGGCTGCGGTGACCTGGCCCTCAGGCTCCGCCGCCTTATAGGAGGTCGCGGGTGGCGCGGAGGGGACAGCGGCGCGCGGAGTGAGCGCAGCACGGTGCGGGTCCTGGGCTGTCCGGCCGGGTCCCTCCGCGCCGGGTGGACGTGGCCACTGCTACCGCCACCGCCCGCGCCATGGGCCCGGGACCCCCGGTGGCCAGGGCAGGGATGCCCCCGCGGACTCTGTCGCTGACGGCGCGAATGAGCTACGCCGTGGGCCACTTCCTGAACGACCTGTGCGCGTCCATGTGGTTCACCTACCTGCTACTCTACCTGCACTCGGTGCGCGCCTACAGCTCGCGCGGCGCCGGGCTGCTGCTGCTGCTGGGCCAGGTTGCAGACGGGCTGTGCACGCCGCTCGTGGGCTACGAGGCCGATCGCGCCGCGGGGGGGCGCTGCGCGCGCTACGGACCCCGCAAGGCCTGGCACCTGGCGGGTGAGGACCTCGCCGACCCCCTGCTGTCCCCGCCCGGGCTTCCTCTGTCCTTTTGTCTGAGCCTCCTCCACCTGTCGCACCACCTCAGTCCCTCTATCTGCCTATCTAGGACTTGAGCTCTTCCTCTATAATTTTGCCCGGTGATCTGCACCTCCTCCGTCTGTCTGTCTGTCTGCCAGCTTTATACCTGAACCTCTCTCCCCACCTCCTCCATCTGTCCAGCTGCCTAGTGCCCCAGTAGCTGCCCAGCCCGGAAATCTGTGTAACTGCTCTGTGTCCCCTACTTATGGTCCTGTCTGGCTATGGTGACCTTCGGGGCCGCCCCTCTGTCCGTCCGTCCAATCCTGGGGCATCCTGGCCCTCTCTGGGTCAAGACTGATGGCCTAGCATCACTTCTGCCTGTCAGATCCCTTCTGCCCGCCCTCCCCGTCAGAGTGACTGCAGGACAGCTCAGTTTGTCCAGTGCCCATTCCGTATCCCAGGGCACCCTGCCCGTTCTTGCCTGGCCTGGGCCTGCTGGTGTTTTGGAGGGTTGGAGGTGCTGCCGGGAGGGAAGGTTTGGGGTGGGCGCACCTGGCAGAGTCTGTGCCATTTCTCTTTGTATCTGACCACGGTGGGGCCTAGGACTCACGTTAAGTGCTGTGGATTCTCAGGGATGGGCTGGGTTGCCCTGGCTGGAAACCCTGATAAGGTGGCTGCAGGGCCCCCAGATTAGCCTGCCGCTCCCAGCAGAAGTGCCTGCTGCTGCATCCTGGCATCCAGGGCTCTCTGGGTATTTCAGGAGCAGGGCCAGGAACCCTGCCCACTCCTCAGGATTCCAGCCTGTGGTTGTCTGGAAGCTGGGAGGGCACAGTTGGTTCCTCTTTGTCCTGGGACAGATTTTGACCCAGGGCCTCCCTCCAGAGCAAAATGTTTTTCAGGACACTGCAGATCACCTGGTAGCTCATGAATGGTGAAGGAGACTGAAAAGTGGACAACGGTTTTGGAGAATGTCACAATAGTCCCGTGTGGAGCTATTGACCCCCACATTCAGCTCTTCTCCTGGGGACATTTGGTGACAAGGGAGACAGTTGGCAGGCAGGGCAGACAAAGCCATGGTGTTATCTAGGTCAGGTTGCCCTGGGGCTCCCTGGCAGAGGGTGCTGCATATGCAAAGGCCCTGAAGTAGGATTCAGCTGCCTGGCCTTCTTGTGGGGAGGGGCCAGAGGTTCAAGGACCCAGTGCAGGTGGCTGGGGCTCCTGCAGAGGTGTATTGGGACTGGCCCTGAGGGAAGGAATCCTGCTGTGTACGGGGCGGGGTGCGGCCTTGACCCAACCCACCCCCTACACCTCACATGGGCACACAGGGAGCCCCTGCAAGAGGAAGCCAGGGAGGCCTGTCACGATGCCTGAGTTAGTGATGAGGAAAGTCACCCTGGCCTGATGCCCACTTCTCTATTTTACCCCCATGTCTGGGTGGTGGAGATGGATTATTTGTGCCCCTTAGTGAGCTGTCCTCCCCTTCTCCCCATACACCCTGCCAACCCTTCAGGCTTCTAGCCACACAGATACCCTGTGGATAGGGCCAGGGGGTGAGGATGAGCTGTAAAAGGAAGAGTGCATATTAGCTTTGGGGTTTTCAGGGCTGAGTAGAAGTTGGGGGCACAGGTGCAGCATTCCAAGCAGTAGAAACAGAAACTGATGCTAAGAGGGAAAGCCAGTTGCCCAAGATCCCCTAGTCCGCCGGCCAGGCTGGCCTGGACAATGGTTAACAGGGCTGGATGATAGCTGGGTGGAATGTGGCTGGAGAGGCACATTTTCCTGAGAGAGTTCACAGTCAGCAACCTGTCTCCAGAGCAGTATGATCTCCAGGCCACCAGGAATCTGCCCCCAGACTGGGGGCCAAGGCCAGTTCTAGAGAACCTGGTGGCTCTAAAGGGCAGGGGTGGTCTGGTTTCACTTCTCCATCTAGGCTTGAGGGGGTGGGGCGGGATGAGGTCATCTCTGAAGGGAGGGGAGAAAGATCCAAGATCCACCAGCAGGCTGGGTTCTCAGCACTGTGCCTTAGTGTGCCTCAGTGTTCTCATCTGGAAAACAGGGCGGTGGCACACTTTGGCTGTAGATGGAGACCCTAGTTTGGTTGCTAGGTCCCCGGATTCAGACAAGACTGCCATACCTTTACCTACCTAGGTCTTTTTTTTTTTTTTGCGGAACTGGGGTTTGAACTCGGGCCCTTGCACTTGCCAGGGAAGCACTTATTCCACTGAGCCATCTCCCCAGCCCCCTCTTTTCTTTTCTTTGTTTTCTGGTGGAACCTGGGATTGAACTCAGGCCCTTGCGCTTGCCAGGGAAGTGCTTATTCCACTGAGCCATCTCCCTGCACCCCGGAGCCTGTTGTCTGGTGGGGAAGCAGGAGATGAGCCAACTATAGACACAGGAGTTCAGGGTGTGCTCACTAAGGGCTTCAAATGAGACGGCAGGGCCCAGGATTGGGTGCTCAGGGCTGGAGGGGGCTGTGGGTGATGGGCTGTTCAGGAAGGGCTTCCCTGAGGTGAGAAAAAACTGCCTTTGTTCAGATGTGAGGAGAAAGCGTTGTAGGCAGAGAGAACAGCGAGCAGGGGTCCCAGGGCAGCACTGGGCCCAGTGAGCTGCAGGAGCAGGGAGGTAGGAACTGTGGCAGGCTGGGGGCAGAGGAGGATCAGGACCTAGTTTCCAAAGTTTTTTTCCTGAGCATGAGGGTGGCATCTGTAGGACTATTCTCTGGACCTTGGCCCCAGGGGCCTGGTGTCCTGGCACCTCAGGGCCAGCCCAGAAGCCTGTTGGTACCCTGGCTACTTGAGATTCCCCGTGAGTGTTGGAGCCGGGCAGGACAAGGCTTCTCCCCTGAGCCAAGGGGAAGCTGTGCCGGATGTGTGTCTCTATAGGGGACCCTGCAGGGACAAGCTGTGACCTCAGGACGACTCTCGCCTGTTCTGTACCTTGGTTTCCCTGCCTGACCATGGTGGAGAGGGTTTTGTCCTTCTGTGAGCTCAGATCTCCCTCCCTGCCTTGGTTTACTTCTTTGTCACGTTAGCTTGGGAGCCCTGGACTGCAGATCCCCAGCCTGCTCTGTAAGGCTGAGCGCACGGGTCCCCGACCCCTCCCTGCCTCTGTTTTGTCCTTACCTGAAGCACCCCAGGATGCCCTGGGCCAGTGTGCGAGCCCTGTGGTGTGACATGCCTTCTACCCACCCACAGGCACCATCTGCGTCCTGCTGTCCTTTCCCTTCATCTTCAGCCCATGCCTGGGCTGCGGGGCATCCACCCCCGAGTGGGCCGCGCTGCTCTACTATGGGCCCTTCATCGTGGTCTTCCAGTTCGGCTGGGCCGCCACCCAGATTGCGCATCTGAGCCTCATCCCGGAGCTGGTCACCAGCGACCACGAGAAGGTGGAGCTCACGGCGCTCAGGTATCCTGGGCAGGGCTGCGGGCCAGGAGGGAGACTGAGGCCTGGGCAGGGGACGCTGGGGCCCCAGCCTTCCTGGGGACACGTGCAAAGTGGCGTATCAGTCGGCAGTAGCTGCATAACGTGGTCAGAGAGCAGCTAGGTGCCATCCTGGGTCTCATTCTGCTACAGCCGTGGATCAGGAATCAAGCAGGGCTCAGCCTGGGGCTCCTGTGTGGTCTGTGATTGAGGTGCTGATTGGGGCTGGGTCTCAGGGAAGGCTTGGCCCCCATTCTGTGCTCACATCCTTGGGTGATAGAACTTGTTTTCTGGCAGCGTAGGAACTCAGCGTTTGCTGTTTCTTTGGAGCCATGAGGGGCATCTCTGACCTCAAGGAGGCCCGAGGCTCTTTTGAATAATCCCTTCTTTAGGCCAGGCCCATGCTGGACAGTCTGCTTTATTAACTCGCTTTCATAGAATTGGGGATGGAACCCATGTCCTTGCATGTTCAGGACAAGCACTCACCACTGAACTGCACCCTGGCTCCCAAAGCCAGGGCTCCAATTGCATCTTTTTTTTTTTTTTGCGGAACCAGGGATTGAACTCAGGCCCTTGTGCTTGCTAGGCAAGTGCTTATTCTACTGAGCCATCTCCCCGGCCCCCTCCAATTGTATCTTGATGAAGGCCCTGGCCTCCAGACCAGCTGTTGATCCTCACCTCTGCCCATCCTGGCTGCCTGGCAGCCTTGCCTTTGAGTCCCGCACTGTGGCCCCAAGTTCAGGCCCTAAGCCAGCAGTGCTTGGTGCCCGGCATCTCGACAGCCTCAAGCTGAGGGTGCTGGACTGGACTGAGGCCAAACCCTGGGGCTTCTACCTGGATGCACTTTGCCTAGTGAATGCCACCTTTATGTGGACTCTGGAGTTGTCTGGTTTTCGGAAAGGGAAACTTGAGGCCAGCCATGATGGTGAACATCTATCACCCCAGCATTCTGGGAGGCTGAGGCAGAAGGATCCTAAGTTCGAGCCCAGCCTGGGCAACTTTGATTTACTGATGCCCTGTCTCAAAATAAAAAGGGCCAGTGATATCGTTTATTTTTGAGGTGCTGGGTTCTGTCCTCAGTAATGGAAAAACAAAACAAAGATGGAAACTGAGTCTTGTTTCAGGTCAGAGTCTCATAACCTCTTCCTGGACCATTCTGCCTGTAGAGAGCTCAGGCCTGGGGACAGAGTTCCAGACCCCTGGCTCTAGTGTCCTGGCTTCTCCATCTCAGAGTCTGCACTAGTCTTAGGGTGCAGATGGGCACAATTGAGGCACAGTTTCCCTGGGGCCTCCCAGTGTGTCAGTGGTCAAAGGTACCCCAACCAGGGCTTCCCCCAAAGTGGCTTTTCAATGGGGAAGAAGTGGCCGCTGTCTGAGCCCCCACCCCCAGGTACGCCTTCACCGTGGTGGCTAACATTGCTGTCTACGGGGCTGCCTGGCTGCTGCTGCACCTGCAGGCCTCCTCGCACCTGGGGCCCACCGAGGACATCACCATGGGTGACCAGCTGGGTGTCCAGGATGTGCCTGTGTTCCGGGTGAGCTGGGGCTAGGATGGCCACCCCAGGGTCTCCTGGGCCTGGAGAGCCACTGCTGACCCCTTGCTCTGTCCTCAGAATCTGTCCCTGGCAGTGGTAGGTGTGGGAGCCGTCTTCTCTTTGCTCTTTCACCTGGGGACCCGTGAGCGGCGCCGGCCAAGGTGGGTAGAGGAACCAGATGAACACAGTCCCCTGGTGTCCCCAGCTGCTCAGCCCCTGCTGCTTTGGAAACATTGGCTCCAGGAGCCAGCTTTCTACCAGGTATGTTGTGGGGGATGCGCAGGGCTCCTGGGGATACTCGCTGAGTAGTGCTGTAGGAAGACAGCAGACATTCCCTTTTTCCATGCCTGTGCCCAGGGAAGACATTACTAATTGATCACATATAACTGCTTGGGGGCCAGTCATGACATTACTAATCAATCACTGATCACCACTCTCCTCCCTGCCTGTTCCTCTCCATTTGTCCACAGGTGGGCATTTTATACATGACCACAAGGCTCATTGTGAACCTGTCCCAGACTTACATGGCTATGTACCTTACCTACTCCTTGCATCTGCCCAAGGTGAGCAGACAAGGGAGGGAAGACAGGCTGGGTCCTGGGCTCCAATGCTGCATCTAAGCCCCACTCCTCTGCCTGTTTCCTGACAGAGGTTTATTGCGACCATCCCGCTGGTGATGTACCTCAGTGGCTTCTTCTCCTCCTTCCTTATGAAGCCTCTCAACAGGTGCATCGGGAGGAATGTGAGTGGCTGGGGGCTGGGGGAGGCCTGGGACACATTGCCTGGGTGAAGCCAGGATCTAGGAGTCAAGAATTGTAGATCCTAGCTTGGTGTGGTTTCTCTCATTTTTTTTTTCCAAAATTTTATTGATAAACAGATAGCAATGAGACAGTTTCAAAGAGAAAGAGTCAGGACGGGGGCGCGAACCGGCGACCTCGCGCTCCACAGCCTGGCGCCAAGACCGCCGCGCCAGGTCGCCGCCTGGTTTCTCTCATTTTAACGGACTTGCATTGCTCTCTCTCTTGTTGGTGTTTTTATTATTTTTAGGAGAGTACCAGGGGTCAAACTCACTATACCCGGGAGGCTGAGGCAGGAGGATCTAAAGTTTGAGGCCAGCCTGGGCAATTTAGTGACTTGGTGAGACATTTTTTTTTTTTTTTAAATATACTTAGTTGTTGCAGGGTCTCACCACACCGCTCCAACTTGTGGTGATCCTCCTTTCAGCCTCCCCAGTGCTGGGATTGGAAGTGTGCGCCACTATGCCCAGACTCTAGTTGGCTCAGCCCGCCCTGGGGCGGGGCTGGCATGGCATGTGGTGCTGGGGATTGAACTGCAGTCTTTGCGCTTGCCTAAGCTTGCCTAAGCAGGCAATTTAGTCCACTGAGCTATCTTACTGGCCTGAGGCATTCTTAAATAATATTAAATAATGCTAAATAATAAAGGGAGAGGGATGCAGCTCCGTGCCAAGACCCTGGGGTTAATGCCCAGTACTGCAAAAAGAGTTCTATATCCTGTCTTCTAAGCAGCTGGATGCTCAGCTCTGGAGAGGCCTAATGTTTTGGAACTTTCTTGGGTATTCTCATCTAAGAACTTAGAATAAGGATCAGAATCCTTGGTTACTCTCATTTTATTTTTCTGTATTTAGTACAAGGACTACAGGGTCTGACTATGTAGATCAGACTCATAGTTATCCTCCTGTTTTCAGCCTCCTAATTGCTGGGATTACAGGCACTTGCCACCACGCCTCATCTCAGTCACCATCTCAGTGTGCCCATGGGTGGGGCCAGCATGGCACACGGAATCAAATCCCGGCCGCTGTGCTCTGCCTAAGCAGCTGCTTTAGTCCACAGAGCTATCAGGCAAGCCCTGATTTCTCTCATTTTAATGGACTTGCATTGCTCTTTTTTTGGTGTTTTTATTATTTTGGGGGGAGTACCAGGGATCGAACTTACGGCCCTGCACTTTCCAGATAGGCATTTATGCCACTAAGCTATCTCTCCAGCTTTTTGGCCCACCCATGCCCGGGTTGGACTTGAATGTGGATATAAAGACCCACACATCTGACTGGGTATGGCGTCACATGCCTGTCATCCCAACACTGAGGAGGCTGAGGCAGGAGGATCTCTATGAGTTTGAGGCCAGTTGGAGGTACATAGTGAGATCCTGCCTCATTAAAAAAAAAAAAAAAAAAAA